ATCCTTGTTATTAACACAAGATTTTATTCACCCTTGTTATTAACACAAGATTTTATTCACCCTTGTTATTAACACAAGATTTTATTCACCCTTGTTATTAACAAAACTTTCATTCACCCTTGTTATTAACACAAACTTTCATTCGCCCTTGTTATTAACACAAGATTTTATTCACCCTTGTTATTAACACAAACTGTCATTCACCCTTGTTATTAACACAAGATTTTATTCACCCTTGTTATTAACACAATCTTTCATTCACCCTTGTTATTAACAAAAGATTGTTTATATTCCATTTTCGTTTCTCTGCATATACAATTAAAGACTAAGTGTTATCCTGTCTCCCCACCCCTTATCAAATTTAGTAATTTGGGTTTCGAAATTAGAATTCGAAGAGGCATAATGAGCTAATTTCTTTTATTTACCACCTGGACAAAACTGAGAACAATGAATGACAAGCATCCTTATTAACAACATCATTTCTTCCGTTTCTTTTGTTGTATATTTACAAATTTTACATGAACAAAACCGACGAAAATTAATAACTATCAACATACACCAGTTAGACAAATAATGTTATAATATAACAAAAACAGAACAAATGAATGACGACATCACATACCACTTCGCAAAGTCATTACTGGGAGGCATTCCACATTTGTAAACGTGTTTGTAACACCAATGTTCCTGCATTCTTGTGACATCTATTAAAACAGTTACTTTCAACACATACACACATGTACACCGAGCATAAATCCTAATAAACACATACACACATGTGCACCGAGCACAAATCCTAATACTTCATTCTAGTTTATTTCATTCATCCTAAAATTCATTTACCTCTGGGTGAACCATTTATCAGTTTTAAAAGCACTGATGTACACAATGATATACATTGAAACCTGAATGGACGTTAAAAACTACTGTTACCAAGTAACTGAAAAGTTTATTAACAATGAAATTTTTTATCTGTTACCAAGTAACTGAAAAGTTTATTAACAATGAAATTTCTTATCTGTTACCAAGTAACTGAAAAGTTTATTAACAATGAAATTTATTATATGTTACCAAGTAACTGAAAAGTTTATTAACAATGAAATTTCTTATCTGTTACCAAATAACTGAAAAGTTTATCAACAGCGAAATTTCTTATCTGTTACCAAGTAACTGAAAAATTTATTAACATTGAAATTTCTTTATCATCACACAAGGTAAAAACTTAGAACATTCTTTTATCATCATACAAGGTAAAACTTAGTAAACACTTTTATCATCACACAAGGTAAAAACTTAGTAAACACTTTTATCATCACACAAGGTAAAACTTAGTAAACACTTTTATCACCACACAAGGTAAAAACTTAGTAAACACGTTTATCATCACACAAGGTAAAAACTTAGTAAACACTTTTATCAATCACACAAGGTAAAACTT